ATTCCGGGTATCGATTATGATGGCTTGCGCGAATATTCGGCGCGTTTGTGTCGGACCAGCACCCACCAAACGGACGCACTGGTCCCAATCGCGGCGCCACCGCACAACGTTGCTGAGGTCGAAACTGAAACCGGGTTCGCCATCATTTATACATCCACTCCACAAGTATGACCAAGGTGGCTCGACTGCATAAGTCCTCCTCTTTTCGTGACGTGCGGTGGTGCTCAATAGTGTCAAGTGACAATTCGTACTACAAATTGTGTTGTCCTATGTATATCATCTCGTGCCAGTCATCGACACACCATGTAAGGCTTTATGTGACAGTGTGACTGTGACCCTGTGCCACAGTGACTGCGAATAAGCTTCCACGACTTTTCCGCGCCATATACGGCACAATTTTCTTTTGCTGTATTTTGCCGTTTGTGACATCGATTCTAAGTTCTTTCTACTGCTCTCGTCGTGGGAGGCAGTGATTGAGACCTCTGGCAAGCACTGGAGTTGTTACCATATTTTAAGGACTCTACGCCACTAGGCCCATTATGCATGGCGACGGGTACAAACACTCCCTTGTAATGGACGTTCTGCTGCCAGGTTGAAATGCCCCCGGGACTCGTCATAGGAATGTGAGCGTTTTGCGCTTGCTGTTGGGAAGGAAGATAGAGTGAACTAGGAAGGAAGACGTGTTGCGTGGAATTGGCCTTCGTAACAATAGAGTTTTTTGCCTCGATATGTTGAAGTTTGAGATATTCCGGTTGTGTCGACAAAATTGATCCTTTACTACCTGTGAGATTGATTGTAATAAGGCGTAGCTTGGAGTGGTGGCATAGCTGCCCCATCTGACGATAGAAAGGATCTAACTCCATCCTGAAGGTATTAACATAGAACTGCTATAGGATGCTGATATGGGATGCATCGCCAACTTGTTTACTCACACTTGAAGTGTCAAACCGAATCTTGCCAAGCATGTAGCTCTATGCCATTCATTATGCCACTACATGGAGTGGAATGTCGAACCTCGCAGAGTTCGAGGTTATCGAGTGCCCTACGCATTCCTTAGGGCGCTTTGCCTATTTATCTACGACCTCAGCATATCTCCAGGCTGATATTAGTGAGTCTTTGAGTCGAGTCTCGTACTTGATCGTGTTCTCTCACTCACTATCTATTGTGTACAAGTGCTCTATCAATTCCGTGCCAAAACTGCCTAGGATGAGTAAGAGTGCGTGTATGCAGTTGCTTGAAACGGTCTCATGCAGACGAATGACTATCAATTCTACTCGACTCCTCCTCGGCGAGCCCCACCGCCAGCGCACCCCGTTAGATATTCACCCGAAGGAGCAATGCATAGGGGTGGTCCGCGCGTACGCCATGATGTTGGACAAACTTCCTTCCATCGTACCGATTATGACCATGGTAGCCTTGCCTTGGTAAGCTTCATGTCGAACCCTTGTCCGGTTTCCGCGAGGGGTGGGCCATCAGTTGAATGGTATGGCGGTTATGAGAACATCTCTCCTCAAGCGTTGCGGCATGAGGATAAAGGTGAATATCAGAGAGGAGTTTAGAGGTGTTCAAGTCATCAGGTGTGCACTTGCTCAGTTCCTTGTACATTTCGGAGGGAAGGCGAGTACTACTACTGCCAAGATCCGCCAGCCTACTACGAAGGACAGGTATGACATCTGGCACTAAGTCAAGTATTTGAAACACCTGAAACCATTTCAGATCACACAAGGGTCTCAATCTGAGGATCTGTATTCCTATAGAGACTATCTTCAACGTGACACTCCATCTTATGCTCACCGTCATGTCCCAGCCAGCTATAGAGATGCAGATTGGTATCTACCACCGCATGGCTTGAGGAGTCGGACTCAAATTGGTGTGTACGGAGCCGCACCTCGAGAGTCTATGGCGGATTCGTGCCCGAAAACGGTTGAGAAGAGTGTCTCGGAGTGGAGTAACGAAGGAATGCCTATCCAATACCAGAAAGCTGACGGGTCCCATTGTGAGTATCGTACAAACTTTGATGGAGAGGTGGATCAACCATCGACGGAGGAGTCGGAGCATGATGAGAACAGTGGTCTCCATCAGCGTGATGAACGTGATAGTCGTCCTAGAGCAGTTGATGTTGCAAACTTCCCTCTAGGATGGTCTTTGGCTACTAGGCTGATCCCATCTGGTGCTGTGAAGCGAGAATATGACATGTCAGCCAGCAGGCCGGGGTTGCCCCTTCATGTAGTACGCCATGAGGCTATCAAGTTTTTCCAAGTGCTGATGTCAAGTGAAACCCCTTATTTCAAGTCTATCGGCGAGGGTTGGGCCCTTAATGGCTTTATGTATTGTCTCACCGAGGACGATGATGTTGGTGTAGTTGTTCGACAATTGGATGACTCGTCCACGTGCGGAGATACAGCCCGAGTCATGCTGAGTGTTGTTACCAGAGACTCCGAGATGGAGAGCGGAAGTTCGGGTAAAATATCTGCAGCCATCGAGGCATGGGACTATGCTCTGAGGCAGCTCGTCAACGGAGCAAGTGCACAGACGGTAGGTCCCATTCGCTCCCCGACTTGTATACTTCAGCGCTTCTAGTCAGGTTCGCTCTCTGCGTAATGGTCTTTTCCGTAGCTACCTGGACCAATATTATTTCCCTGGCATACCGATGAGCTATCTCCCATCATGGACGAAGCTGAGTCGACCACCTCCCTCGGATAGGCTTGAGTATCTCACCATTCAATGATATGAAGACTGTTGGCTTACCCTTACACTCGTCAAGCCTGGTTTGGATGCAGTCTAGCTTGTTGGAGTGTAATCGGTGAAGTATCCAGCAACGATGAGTGCGAGGTGTGGTATGTAGCATACTCCAGCCAGCTGTTTCATGGGCCCGCTCTACTACGACTGTTAGGGTCTTAATCATCCCGTGCTCCCTAGATTACACACTGTATCCACATGTGCTGCTCTCGGGATTGTTACCGCTCTCTGTGGATCATCTCTCTCACACAAGAAACAGTCACACCTCGATATTATTCGAGTATGACTCATAGTTGGCGAACCGTATCAGTTGAATACGAGTCGTACTCATACATACTGGACGATTACTTGATTGGAATGAGTTGGTTGGACTAATTGCGATCTGATCCATTTATTGACACTGAATGCAGGGCTCCTACATCCTTGGGACCTCCCACTTACCACATATGCTTCATGTTTTTCTGTTCGTCGAGTTGTTTGGACTCGTAGATGTCGGAGACTTATACTCAGTGATTCCGCTCAAGTATGATTTTATCATTTGCGTGGAGACTCCCACATAATCCCAATGGGAGGAGAGGAAGCGACTCTGGCATCCTCATGGAGCCGAGGGATTGAAGGATATGGATGAAGCATACATGCTGGTGATGAGCCACAAGGATAGTCGGTGTAGTTCTCCGAGGACTGTCTTCGTACAATCATAGTTTAGCCTGATTTGAGGGAGTGAGACATTCGGTTCTATCTGCTACTACGCTAGCAAGCTGCCGATCTCTCCGCTGCCTTAAACAGTGGGGTTTCTTCTGCAATAATTCTTCGCGTATAGCTTGTGGAATTGTCCCAGTCTCAATATGTGGAGAGTTTCCAGCGGTAGATTGCACACCATGGATAAACCATCTTTTTGTCTGTAGATAGTTACGCTCATCAGGATGAGGAAGACGATGCACTCTATGATGGCGATCACACTACACGAGAGTCTGTGATTGGCTCATTGTGTGTGATGGGTTATGCACTCAGTCACGCGCAAGCCAGCCTGTGTCCCACTCCAGTGCATGTCGTCCACTCATCCATGATTGGGTACTGGTTGAACGCTGACCTCTCGATCTTCCTTCTTCTGAATTTGATCCTGTCCAGTGATCATTCTCCTCTAGCGTTGATTAGGCGCCGTATCGTCGTAGGTATGCATATTTACAGGAGTGGTGGGCACCGCTACTCGAAGCCCATCAAAGCCTCCCACTGGGAGGCACTATTCGAGTGGGGCTCGGCTCGATTGTATGTCGTACTTCACCTGTCAGCTCAGTATGAGCAACATGTGAAACCGAATTGTGGTCGCTCTCTTCCTAACAAGCGCGGGTTGAATATTCACGTTTCTCGGCGGAGGTACTGGTGGCCCCGCGGAGATACCTCGGAATCGGACTGTCACCGTTCGTTCGGCATCTCGATCAAAACATTCGGAGTCCAGCTCGTAACGATGCCAGGAAGCTCGTAACGGATGTAACTTTCAACGGAAGTATCTTGGGTAGGACACACGCTTTCATCTGCTTGGAATCACTGATATCGGCACGCGCCGCATGCCATGTGGAAGTCATTTGGTTGACATTGAACACAGAAGAGCGATTGCTCTCTAAAAATTCAGTGGTGTATGCCATGTCTCGAGAGACTTTGCTCTTTGTCCTTTACCGATGGCGAATGCTGGAACATAAACCATGACATGTGCAAGGCTCTTCGTGGCTTTCATTGTCGCCGTTTTGCCCGCATCATCAAATCAGACCCTCGAACTTTCCTACAGACTCTATCTAGCGTAGACCCTGCAT